AGACAAACTAGATTGAAGATAGCAATAAATACAAACAAGAAAAAAAAAAATAGGAATCTAGGAATAGAAGATAAGGTGATGCAACAGTGATAATGCAAAGTAAAATTTTTATGTTTCAAAAGAACCCCCTACCCAACAACAAATTCTGCCTATTTTGGCTTCTTTTTATCCAATCGAACCGTTTCTTGCAGAGAACATGTCTCTTTATTCATGTCATTTTTTGATTAAATATAATATCTTATTCTATCCATTTTTAATGCTTGGAGAGTAGAAAATGATAACAAAAGAGAGGTGCTCGGTTGGCTAGGTCAGTAGAAGCGGAGCCATCTATCAATTTGAAATGTTAATTAATGAATTGTAGATTAATAATTTTACATATTCAATAATTTTTTAAGAAAAACACATAGTTTGAATCAAAATTAGTTCAATCGAATTTAGGGTGGCCTCCTTCCCAGGGTGGCGGTGGCACTTATGATCATCAATTTAAACACTGCTTTGAAAACAGGCCTTAAGGTTTCTTGCATTTGAGGATTGGTGTTACAGTTGCAGAAGAAGGCAGCAGGCAATACACTCCAAAAAAACACACATGTTTCTTTTCTCTTGTTGCTTCCCTTTCATATATATATTCTCCTTCTCACTATCTCTGCAAACGTACAACTGTCATCTTGATGATCCAAGTAAATACATAAAAATATCTTTCACCATCTTCTAGGGCCTTCTACCCTTCCCATTTCAATTAAGAATAACATAAAATTTGATTTAACTTATATAAATGTAGCAGTATATTTTAACATGTTGCAGTAGATAACCTTTCTTATTATTCAAGTTGTTAATCTATACTTTATGGATGATTACTTATAATTTTCTTACCTAATAGTGTAATATATATTTTTTACATTATCAGTATATAAAAAGTAAATTTTATTGAATTAAACATGTAACTTGGGATATCAAACAACCGGTATTTTGATCTTAGTCTGATATGAAATCCTCCATGAGAAAGTAACCAGAATTGAAGTAAGTTAGAATATTCGGCTTTAAAATATAATACTACTGCCATATCAACCTGAAGATCTTGGTTGCAATTTTTCCAAAATAATAAATAAGACGTAAAAAAAAACTGAACGGAATCTAGGGTTTATTAGAGTAGTAAATTTACAGCGTTGGATATCCATGCAGTTTATAACGTGCATGAGGAGTTGTTTGCAGATCCTTTGTAACTGTTTGGTAATAAAGCTATTGGTTTTAAATGCTCTGAGTATTTAGCTCTTGCAATATATATACACATATGATTGCTTATTGTTGGTTGAGACTTGAGAAAGAAATAAATATAGACATCATGTCCTTTATTATCAGCATTTGTTGTTTCTGGTACGTCTCCTTCTTACATTATAAAAACACATTCACTTCGTATCTACCCGTTAAAATAGTAGCCATCAACATCTATGTCTTAATTTGAGGTGATAAAGAAGTAGATTATTAGGTGCAATCTTTTTCTTTATTAATTAAATTTCTATTTCTCAGAGAAAGAGGAACGTAACGGTCAAACAGTAGCATACCTATCGTATGAAAAACTCTTATCGGTACTACTAAACTATAAGCTTTAGTGGTTATTGGGTACAGTCTTACCTTATCAATTATAACATGATGCAAGAAAGTTATTCGAGAATATTACATTTGTCTTTGATGAGTTATGTAAATCTCTCCCACATATAAACATTCCATGTGAAACCGATTTGGGTATTAGTTCAATAAGAATGTTCAAGATCCATCTACGTTAAATTAACTGTAATATATTGAATCCTTAAAAAGTAGTACTCCATTTGTTTTAATATAAGGTTATTGTTCTATTGTATGCCCCTATGATACTATTGGCATAACTATGTACGCACAACGTCTTTGTTTCTTTCCATTATATTCCTAAGGGGGAATAGATAAAAAGAATGTCGACATTAAGGATAAAGCTGTTTTGAATTATTCGGTTTACCTCCCTCACTCTCGTTGACTATTAAACTATGTATCAATTAGTTAATTAAGTTCAAGAATAAGTACCAGTGACCTAATCAACGTTAGAAATTGCGCAACTAAAGATTTCAAACTAGCGCTATTATCTCATTTTTTTTATTGACTAGATGATAACCCAAATTTTTATAGCTAGGTATTGACTTACAGTACCATAACCAGATTCTCAAAATTCTGATTTTTGGTAAGGGGTAACTCTAGTGGAGAGTAATCTAGAGGGTAGGTACTTCACTCACGATACACAATGTTCGGAAGTAGTACGTATATGATTATTAGTTTAAAATCTTTTAATTTATTGATATAAAGTTTTGTCTAATTAAGAAAATAAAACTAGAACAAAGGAAGTGAGCTATAAGAAAAAGATTGTACAACTTGGGTGGTAGAATTTATTTTTTGTTGGTTTCCCACATGATATTCAATATTGGCATTGAGGCCCTAACTAGTCCTAATTGCACCGCATGAGACCATTAAGGAGGAAAGCACTCCTATAAAAAAAAATTATTTTCAGTCCTCGAATCGAGAACTCTTATTAAAAGTGGATGAATCTTCGTCCCACAATAATCTTTTGGGGATAGTAGAAAAGAGGAAATAAGTGAGGGGAATTTAGGGCCTCTATAATAAGAGTTAAAAAATGACGATGCGGTGTACGAAACATCTTGAATTTATATAGGATCTGAAAAAAGATCGCATTCCAAGAAAATATGATATAGACAAATTACCTTGATTCAAACATCAATGAATTTCGTGACTTATAGGTCGTGATTTGTTTTTTGAGTTAACTAATAACAGGAGAATTAAACAGTAGAAAGGAAGAGAAGCAGTTCACCACAGGTAAGTTCGTTAGCTTAAAAACAGCACATGAAACAGTAGTTACTGCAGAAACTGATCCACCTCGAAATGCGTTCCTCTTAAACCTTTAAGCTGTAAGTTGCAGTCTATCATTATACCTCCAGTAATAATACAACCGTTCATCCCAACTTGATGCTTTACAGGGAGTATAATAAAGTTAGAATTCATAATTTGAATTTTATTGATTCAACTATTAAAATTTATATTAAAATTATATTTAATATTCTTGAAAATTTATAATTTTACATATTTATCTATGTTTTGTATTGAAAAAGGAGGAAACTTCTCAGGAAGGATTGTCGCTAAAAATGCACCAAATGATTATAATGAAAACTGAAAAATATTTGGGACAAGCAAAGTTTTTTAAACTTTTATAATTCCAAATAAATCTACAAAATCAAGTTGCGATAATAAATAAATACAACCAGGGGCAAAGCTACAACCTATCAAGGGTGGTTAATTAACAGACTACCCTTCGTCGAAAAATTATATTGTGTATATAGACAAAATATTAGTTTTAGAGGTATATAACATATATTGAAAGAACATTTCACTTCTTTCAAGTTTGACTTGGAAAAATTTCTGGTTTCGCAGGGGCGTATCTAGGGGGTTCTATGGGGCACGTGAACCCATGCTCCCCACCCTAAATCATGTATAGTAATGTTATATTTTTTCAAAAAATATTTAAATATATGTGTGTGCATCCATGCTCAAAGTATTATATGATGTGATAGTTATTGAGTGAATCTCTCTAGGTGAGTTTGTGAGTTCAAATCTTATGTCAATTTTGTTATTTTTTTCCTTTTTTTTTCTAGAAGTAGACGCCCATGGGAGATGGGCGTGTCTAGTATTATTTTTTGCGTATTAATTAAGTACATTTTTTTTTTGTTTGGTTAATTCTTTCAAAATTTTCACACATTGAAATTCATATTCTTCTTTTGTCGCTGTAAAATTTTATATGATTAAACAAAATGTGTATATTAAAACTAGTAGCAGGGTATGATGTAGCATATAGTCAATGAGTTCAATTGATCTCATATTTTCAACATGGAAAATAGATAGAGATGTAAGAAAATTATTATTTAAACAAACAAAAATTTGAACTTATAATTCCAAAAGTACATGGGTACACAATCGTAAGAACTAAAGGTTGAACCCGTAAAATTTATATTGTGGATCCACCTCTTCTTAATAGTGCACCCATCCTACCAAAATCCTGGATCCGCCTTTGCAAGTTTCGCCACTGAATACGTACAACTTATGCATAATTTTGTATACGTTGTATAGTACTAACAATTATCTCCGTAGCAGAGTAGGAATTTCGCCGCCGACACACCGGCCATTGGCCACCGGCGATCGAGTTGACTCATTTAAGTGGTGTGTGTGTGGGGGGGGGGGGTGAGCGTGAGACCTCTGACTTCTGTCATGTGTGTGTGGGGTTTTAGCTAAGGCTTCTTTATAACAAAAACAAAGTGAAACTTGAGAGGCAAAGTTTAGAGTCGATATATACAATTAATTTAATTACTTTTATTTATTTTAATATATTATATAGTTCATGCACCATCAAAAGCATTTATGGCATCCCTGCTACAGTTGGTAGATCTAAACCCTCCAATTTGTGGGCCTATTCCCACACATCTTTACCTTTTCCTTCTTGGGAATAATCTTACTGTTTCTTCTATCTGTTTTTTTTTAATTAAAAAAAATCATATATCTGGAAAGATCATTCTCTACTAATATACTAACATAAAATAAATAACAAGCACAACTGTTGGTCATTAAAAAATAAAAATGAGTAATGATTATAAACAAAATTATAACTTGTTCCAACATAGCTTAGCTGTAAGCCTCCAATAGAAGATCATTTTTAGTATGTGTTTTTTTTCGTTTTCTTAGTGAAAGAATATTTAAAAACATTTGAAAGAAAAGGAAAGAAAAAAAAGTATACCAACTTTGATGACATAATAAAAGTTGGTATTATATTCTTACCGAATTATTTATCTGCTAATACAGCAGAATATAAAATATCAAATATGCAATATAATATATATACTACTTACTATATAATAATGAAACTAGTTGTTATATATAGCCTTCAATTCCCACTGAGGCTTAGATGGTCTGTTTCCAATATTATCACTATTTTATTCCCTTCATTTCTTTCACTTCTCCCCAACCTAAATAGCAGCTATAGCTAAAACACTAGCAGCAGCAGTAGTAGTAGTACCACTACTAGTAGCAGACCTTTGCCATTTCACTCTGCAACATTCTGATAAAACTCTCAGTTTACTCTCTCTTCTCTTTACCTTACCCATCCCTCTGTCCCAATAACCCCATCTTCATCTTTTTTCTTTTCTTCATTTTCTAGTATAAAAGAGAGTGATTAAGTCTAACAAAAGCTATGGATATTGAGATGCTCAAATCAGCAGCAGCTTCTGAAGATCAAATGGAGTTGATGCTCATGATGCAATTAGACAAACTTCCTGACTTCTCCACTGGTACGTAACAACGTTGAATATTGAATATTATGTGACTATTTCATTTAAGAATTTAAACTTAAAAAGAGCCTAACTGTTTAATTATATTTTGTCTCGACAGGTAACAGTTCTGAATTGCCAATGATAGATTTTAGTCCACAAGGAAGTTGCAACAGCAACAACAGTGGAAATGGAAACACTAATTATTTCCCTAATCAAATTGATCACAATACACCAACTTTCTTGAACATACCTTCCAACAATATCTCATTTACTAACTCTCATCAAAATCCTTCAACCCTTCAAAATTTCTTAGCCAATAACTCTAGTAGTAGCAGTAGTTCTGGTGCATTTAATTCCCATTCGATGAATCGAAGTAATATGGCAGCAATGAGAGAAATGATATTCAGAATTGCAGCAATGCAACCAATTAACATAGATCCTGAATCTGTAAAACCACCAAAGAGAAGGAATGTGAAAATATCGACCGATCCTCAAAGTGTAGCGGCACGTCACAGAAGAGAAAGGATAAGTGAAAGGATAAGAATATTACAGAGATTAGTACCAGGTGGTACTAAAATGGACACTGCATCAATGTTAGATGAAGCAATTCATTATGTCAAATTCTTGAAAAATCAAGTGCAGTCATTGGAAAGAGCAGGTGCAAATAGGCCATCAAATTCTGTTGCTGCTACAGGATTAGGATTCCCTGTACCAATGTCTTTAAGTGGGAATTATTTACCTGTGAGTTCAAAGAGTTATCAAAATATTCAACAATATGCAGATGCTTAGTTTGACTCCTTATTTGAAGGAAAAAAAAGAGAAAGAAGTTGTTCTTTCTTGTTAGAAGAAATTGAATTTGTGGGGTTGTAAATTAGAAAGGAAGTGTCAACGTCATTTGCATTATGATCCTTAAGGCTTATAACCATGCATGTTGTATTTGATAGGAGAATAATGATCTATAACCATGGTATATACTAGAGCCCCAATTGAGCTGTTAATAAGATTGTTTTCCTCAAACTCTCTTTTCTATATATGTTAGATTATGTGATCATTTTATTCAACACTTATTCTCTGACGTGTATGCTTGATTTTTTTTTTGTTAAATTGTTTGACCTTCTCATTGAAAGTTTAAATGTTTAGAGATAATATATTTTATTTACTTAATTATGTATACTCGAAAAGTACAAAGAATCAAAAAAGAAACCATCAATGTTTCCCAATTACATGGTGAATGATCAGCCAAAGTGAAGCTTGTATAACTTGCAACTTTCAAATAATTCTTATATGGGGGTTGAAATGGCCATGTGCAAATTATCTTTGCAGCATCTCGAAGAAAAATCTTGAAAACGAGATATTGAAGAGGCTTTTGTTTTCTTTATAGATATATATTCTTTTTTCTATTTACAAGTTCTGGGAATAGGTCTGTACATTTTGAAGATCAGAAGAGGGACCATTTAGGACTTTGGTTGTATACTCTTTCAAGGTCAAATAGCAACTCATGCCCCTTAGAAAGACAACTTGTAGGCTCCTGTTTGAAAATACCCCAGTTTTCTTAAGGGTCTTTTTGTTCCCAAATTGAACATTGTAGGGGTCGTTTGGTTCCCATATTTGAAAGAATAAAACAATGCAAGGACTAGTATTTGCCTTGGACCATTGTTCGCTTTCTTGACGAATTAATAGGAAGCTAAATCTGAGTTGAAACAAAGTCTATACTTCCCTTTTATTTTTCCTAACCTTTTACATTGGTAATATGATTAATAATTGAACGATTATTATGTCGGTGATTAATAATTGAAAGATTATTATACAATAATTACATATTTTCAGGGAATTTTCCGGGGGGAGGGGGTGAATTGTAATTTTTTTTTGTTTTTTTGAGGTAGTCGACTAACTTGCGTTCTAGTTGACTGGGCTCTTGAAAATTGAATAAAGGAAAAGAAATTGCAGAAAGTAAATGACACAGAATGTTTTTATACTGGTTTGGATTCAGAATGAAACCTACGTCCAGTCCCCTTGGGTTGCAAGGGTGTTCTCTTTCAAGTATAAAGTGGCTTAGTACAGACGGGTTGATGTTGTTATACATCAATAACTTTGTCACTTTGTTCTTCTCTCTATTCTCGATACAATGCCTCACTAATATTCTTTTCTCTCTTTCTTCTCTTCCTAGTTACACAAGACCAACTCGTTATATATATA